CATCCTGATGCACTTGGGTTGTGGGAGGTCAGTCGGGTCAGCAAACACAGGTGCAGTCAGAGGAGGACAGCAGAGGATCAAAAGCCTGGCGCCGGTCCAGAGAGCATCAATAGCTACTTTAAAATTGTGAGTTTAAGAAGCCTCAAAGCAGGAAATGCACAAAATTAGGCCTGTCTAAAAGCTCTTGCTCAGTGAAGTGAAAGCCCTCAGAAGTAAAAACACCTGAGCTGCTGTCACTAAAATGTACAAACGACTGATGGAAAGTAGCTTCATTGTGACAGCGCCTGCAGCTAATACCTGTACAGGCATCCTGTCTGCATGAAGCAGAAGGCTGCAAGTCACTTTGCTCAAGGGGAATATGTTAAGAATGTAACTTAAGATGTAAAAGGTTGCCACAACTAGTCTTCATACGTAGCTTAATCAGCACATGATCTTCCTGAAATATGAGCAGTTTTTGTGCAGAGAACCACCTGATTCCATGTCTCCATACGGCTCCAGCCATTGGTCAGTTTTAATGGGTCATTAACGTTTTTCCAAGGTGAGGGTAGCTGTGGTCTGGATACACAGCACTGTGTTTCCATAATGTGCTTCCTCCAGTTGGCGGACTAGGTATCGAAACTAGGAATTGAAGTTTTAAAATTTGAACGATTCTGGGGGAATGTTAGTCCCGGTTCCATTGATTCTCGAGACTTGATGCCCAACCCTAATCCTGGGACCATGTCGGATTGTGCCTACTAATGTTAACATGCTGACTCTATGCATATCAGTTTGACTTTTTATTTTTTTTTGCTGTTACACAAGGATCCAAACAACAATCTACGGACATAAAATACATCCGGTCTGGCCAGATATTTACTAAACCTACCAAATATTGCAACCAAGCGTTCTGTTTTTGATTATGATTTGTACGTGCTGATATCTCTTTGGCTATCTAGATTTGAAACGTTGAGCTCAATGATTAACATCTAAACCAGACAAACTCATAAACGATGGAAAACAGTAAATACTGTTCATATGTACAATACAGGCCAAAGATTTAGAAGCATCTTCAAGTATCAGTTCATGATGTATTTTCTTAATTAGTATGAGGGTGATGGATTTTGTGACGTATTTGTGGCATGATCAGAGTTTGGCTTCATTGATAAGAACAATTTCCTCAGTTTTTCTGTATATACTGCTTTTAGCAGACCATTTCTGAATAAACATTAACTGAGAAGAAGAGCCTAGTTTTGACAAGATCTGCAGGAGTCACAAGTTCATTTGAAATGTAAAACGAAGAATCAGTTTGCACGTCATGTTAATCCCATGCTGGACTAACAACTACTTTGAAGAAAACAGACTAAGCAAGAAAAACCTAAGTTGGTACTTTATATCTAGTTCATACTTTAATGTGTCTTAAGTCTTTGAAGTACCAGATTTTGATGTAAAAGAAAAAAATATTTTAAATACAAAAAACAAGAAAATATAAAGAATAAAGTTGTTTTTGACCTCTGGAGGAAAATGAGTCATTTAGATTAACCGCTCAGCTAACCAGCTTCTGCTCCAAGTCTCTAAAGCCAGGCTGAAGACCCGAGGCAGCCGAGCCTTCGGGGGGCCTGCTCCTAGACTCTGGAACAGGCTGCCTTTGCACACTAGAGGGTCCCCGACCCTTGATGGTACTGAATCATTTTTAGTCACGTTAGTTCTCCTTGGCCTTGGATCTGGGTAGAACATGACCCCAACAAAATATCTATTTATTTACTCTTTTATTTTTGTAAACATTCTGTATTTTACTGTTTTTAATTCGGGCTCCGTGCACACGGAGACTATCTTGGGTGTTTCCACAAAGGTGTTTTATCATTTAGGCATTGCGCCCACATGGATCTGGCATTTTGGGAGACCACAAACGATCATTTTCGAAACCGGGTCCCAGAGTGCTGAAGTTGGGATCCCATTCCCAGCTTCTGAAATGGCTCTTGAGTAAAGGGGGTAATTCAAGGCATCTGGGCCCTATTTGATGAGGTTCTAAATTAAAAGCTGTTTTTAATGGATCTATAAGCAGTTGAGAAGAATTCACTCCAGGTTTGACCATTTTATCGAACCGAACAATAGAATCCCAGATTACTTGAAAGCAGTCAGAAGCTGAATCAGATGCTAACTCCAGCATTATCAGATTAACTCAAAGCTGCAGTCCTCCTGCTGGCAGACTTGTTTTAGTGTCTTTAAAAGAATTACCTCTCTCCCGTTGTCTCTTCCTGATTCTTCTGATTTTTGTTTAATGTTTTAAATGTCACTCCCACAATCTGTTGGTAATCAAAGCCTCACAGCCTGGAGCTGCAAAGCTTGATTGTTTTCGTGTGGTCATTTCTTCAGGGTTCCTTTGAACCTCACAGGTCTTCTCCACCCAGACAGCCAAAGAGCATCTATGTCCCGACCTGAAGTGTTTTTGAAAGGGAATTAAGTTATGTATCAAGTCTATGAAACAATTTAAATTCATATAAGGAAATCTTATAATATACTTTTAATATAAAACCTAAAAACATCTATGAATGGGGGCACATGTCCAATATGTCCACTAGGAGGAGGAACAAACATGATCATGACCAAAGCTGTGCTTTCACAATGATCTGTGAGTCAGCGCTGTGGCAACACTACGACCTCCTTTCTAAACCAGGCAGAGTGTGATCATAAATGTCAATGAGATGAACTTTAACATTAGTTTGCATAAACGTTTGGGGACAGAAGACTTGCTGTCTGCGCTTGACTGAAGCTGCTGGTGAAATGACCAGAAACGGAAGCGAATGATTTATTGTTAGGTTTCATGATGAAGGCGTACTCTGGAGATCTGTCAGGCTTCAATCTTTCTTTGGCTTTCTGGATTAAACTAATGCCACTTATGATAAAACTGGACAAAAACAGGAAAAGATGGGAATGCAAATATGTGATGCTAATGAAACGGTGGAAACTAAGCCTGGCAGTTCTCTTGTTCATTCATCGTGCCTGGAAGTATTCAAACCCTCTGAACCTTTATTCATTTTATTTATGTTAGCACCACCATCTTTATCCTTTTTATCGGGACATTATGTGACAAACCAACACATAATAGTATTAGAATGGATGTGCAGTAATTACCACACACACACAGATCCTTGCATACCGACTGAACTTTTTTCACAAACCTCAACATACTGTGATTTTGTAGGACAGATGAAGTTGTCAGACAGTGCTGCATGTTTTTATTTTTTTTAACTCAAAGCTGTATGGCCCTCCACCTTTCTCTGCAGGACTTCTGGGTGTGTCTCTACCTGCTTTGCACACCTAGGAACTGGATTTTTAGTCCATTCTTCCTTTCTGTGAACATTAAGTTTTACACCTTACTACAGATTCTCATTTGGATTTAGGTCTGGACTTTGACTAGGCCATTGTTACACATAAATGTGCTTTGATCTAAAGCAACCATTGTAGATTTTGCTGTATGTTTGGGGTCATTGTCCTGCTGGAAGTTGAACCTCCACCCGTGTCTCAAGACTTTGCAGCAGGTTTTCATGTCTCAGTCTTCCCATCAGCCTCTCCTTCCTTACTAATAAAAAGCATCCCCACAGCATGATGCTGCCACCACCGTGTTTTAAAATGTGCAGTGTTGGTTTTTCCTCACGCAAAGCATTTTATATGTCAGGATACGCCTAGATTTGGTCCTATTTGACCAGAGCAGAATTCTTCCACATGTCTTCTGTTAAGACTGGACTTGTGGAGGGCACATCTAAGGACTGTCTTATCAACAGTGTAACGGGGGGATTGGGAACCACTGGTCTGACACAAATAAAATACATTAATGTTGTAAGGTGGCAGAGTAGAATGAATACTTACCTGTAGATTTATGATAATTAATGGTTTGTTAAGCAGTAAATGAAGTGGGGGGGGTTCAGTTACAGGGAATCTGTAGATTGTTCACATTCATATGTTCCAAAGCAGACTCCAAGACCTGCTGCCTGCGTGTTGTGGTCCGATCTTGCAGTTGATTTCCTCTGCAGCGTGCAGGAGTTCTCAGTCCCTCTGGTAGCCTACCCACCCTGTTCTCCTCTCACTGACTCCTGAGCTGGTTATTAATAGCATGAGGAGGAATCTGTCTGAGTGAGGAAATCAGGATGCCTTCCTGTAAATATTGCATGATTTACCTCGAGTCTGCTTGAAATGCCAGAGGGGAGGAGGATGCAGCAGTAGAAAACTTTTTGTTTTTTAATTGTCCTTCCTCTTCAGGTTTGGACTTCAGGTTGATCATTGTTATATGCTTGTTATTTTTAATCTAAGAAGCAGCAGGCCAGGATGCTCCTCTCTCTCTGAGCACAAGGTGTCCATGCATGCTCTTTAAAACCACACAGGAGGATTTTCATGTTCTCATCACCTGTTTAGTCAGCAGGAGCTTCCTGGTATAGTTTTAATCTTCTTAATTGCATTGCTCACCAAACAAAGAAGCACACATCACCGATTCTCTAACTGTGGGCTTGTTCCTGATAACATTGGGTATAAATAAAATAAAAAAAAAATGACTTAAAAGAAATCGGTTCCTTTTGCACAGGCCTCCCTGAAGTTCTGGCTGTAAAATTCGACACCTCTTTCCATCAGGTCCTGTCGTTTATGTGCTGGATCTGGCTGACCGGCTTATCTCCAAGGCTGGGCCATTCGCTGCAGCCGGTATCATGGTGGGCTCCATCTATTGGACCGCTGTCACCTACGGAGCGGTCACGGTCATGCAGGTAGGACTCTATGTTTTGCTTTGAATAAGTCTTGCTGTTCGCCACACGCTTGCAGATCTACCTAATGAGGCTGAATTTCTGGACAGTTTGAGTTTTTTTGGGATAATTTCTGATCTCTGATTTTTGTAATCTGCCAATACCATTTTAAAGATTTTCCAGCACTAGTGACCTTTATTATTTTTTCAGAAAGTAAGCAGACAAGAAGCAGGGTGGAGTCTCTGATTTCTCTTTGAGAACAGCTTTCAAATACAGTACTCTGAAAAAGTATGCACAGTGGAGCAGTTGGTAGCACTGTTGGCCTTGCAGTGAGAAGGTCCTGGGTTCAACTCCCAGTCTGGGGAGTGCATGCTTGGCTTTTAGGCTTTCACGTTTGAGGTCATCAAACAAATTTTCATAGAGGTAAATGCTCCCTTTCATAGAATAACAGGCTAGGGGAGCTATTTGAACCAACGTGGCTCTATGTGAAAATGCTTCAGAACTTAAACTTTAGCCTCCTAAACCTAATAACTACCATCAGGTGTTTCTAATACCTGGCAGTGAGCCTTAAGCATCACTGTGGAGAAATCTGGACCCACTCTTCTTTGCAGAATTGTTTTCATTCAGCCACATTGGAGTGATTTTAAGGAGTTGGGTTTGTCCAGCCTTTTTACTTTTCGAGAGGCGGACCTGCTGGTGTAATTCCGGTCATTGTCCTGCTGCATAACCTAAGTGCCCTGGAGCTTGACCTCACAGACCGTTGGCCTTCAGGATTTTCTGGTAGAGTTCTTTTTGGTCAGCAGTAATTTTCGCCTCGCAACTCCCCCATGGAGGCCATTTCTCTCCAGTGTCTCTTTTTCTTCTTGTTGAATCGTGAACTCTGACCTTCACTGAGACAGGTGGTGGCTGGAGTCCTTGTAGATGTTGTTCTGGGTTCTACTGTGACCTCCTGGATGAGTTGTTGATGCCCTCTTGGAGTAATTTTGGTAGGCCTGTCACTCCTGGGATGGGTCACCACATGTTTTTCCATTTGTAGATGAGGGGTTCTCCCTGGGGTTCATCTGAGTCTCAGGGCTCAGAAATGGCTTTGTAACCCTTACAAGACTGATAGACGTCAGTGAGTTTGTTTCTCATCTCTTCTTGAAGTTCTTTAGATCGGAGCACAATGTGGTGATTTCTAAGATTTTTTACCTACTTCATGTAGTCAGACGGGTTCTTTTTAAGTGAAACCTGAGAATGAACCAAAAATGTGGTTAAACAGTTAATTTGTAATTTAATAAAGGCAGCAAATATATTTGGAACTTTTCTTCCTGTAATAAAAGTATAAGTAATAAAAATGTAAAAGTAATAAAAATGATGAGAAAGCTGCGGTTTTTTAATTCACTCAGCTTAGTGGTTGCTTCCAGCCGTCTGCAGTAAGCGGTCGTGGTTTATATTAGGAGCAGAGGTAACGCCGCACCGCGTGTGAGAGGCAGTCGCCTGGTTAGCATCACCAAAAATATGGTTAAAAATTACAATAATGACTCTTGCCTTAACCTTCCTGTTATCCGCTGAAAGTCTAACTCTTTAAATAATGTATTTCTGAGTTCTTCGCATCCAATCAATATTCAGGAACTGAAAATGAGCCAATTTATTAGTAAATCCTTAAGTGTTTATTTTTGATGATTTGTGAATTTATTTAACCACAAATTGTGGCTGTCTGCTGTCCAGGTGGTGGGCCATAAGGAGGGCCTGGATGTCATGGAGCGGGCTGACCCTCTCTTCCTGCTCATTGGACTGCCCACCATCCCCGTCATGCTGATCCTCGGGAAGATGATCCGCTGGGAGGACTACATCCTGCGTCTGTGGAGGAAATACTCGAACAAACTGCAGATCTTTGACAAAATCTTCCCAGGTTGGTGCACGTTCTACCGTCTGAAACATATTTACAGTGTGTTTAATATAACTACTGTTAATCTCTGTCAGATGTTTTATTGAGAACATTCAGTGTGAGGACCAGAGGCAGAATGGATGTGATTGAGCAGCAGAGGTTAGACAAATGAACCCATAAGCTGCTGATTTGTCTGCTGACACGCTGAATGCTGGAACTGCAGGTATCGGCTGCCCGGTGCCCCGGATCCCTGCAGAGGCCAGCCCCCTGGCCGACCACGTCTCCGCCACGCGGATCCTGTGCGGTGCTCTGGTCTTCCCCACCATCGCCACCATCGTCGGGAAGCTCATGTTCAGCAGCGTCAACTCCAACCTACAGAGGACCATTCTGGTGGGTACCATATGGTGACCATCACTAACCATAAGCAGTATGGTTAGTTTTGTCCTTCCTACCTTCATGGTTTTTCCAAACCTGCCCATTGGAGCAACATTTGGCATAAATTCATAGTAGACTTAAGTGATTTGTATTTTGAACATGAAATATTGTGAACTCTGACATTTTTAGATGAAGAAGCTGTAGGAACCCTGTTCTTCTCGTCACTTGGATCTGTATCTTCTGAAGCGTTCACACATAAGACCTTGTGGTGACCACAGTAGCACACATGATGCCACTGAATAGTCTGCTGTCGTCTCTCGATGACGGGCCGCTTTTGTCACCAGTGTCACCTCAGCAGCAAGCTAAGTGAACAGCTGAGCTGCATCTCAGAGCCTCCAGGGCCACCTCCTGTCTGCCAACAGCGGTGTCTGTTTCACAGCGACCAGCTGATACGTTTGACCCTCCGGACTGCCAGAAACGAGGGATGATTTTACAAAAAAATCATTAATATACAGAAATGAAGTTGTGATGATTCAGTCTGCAGGAATGAGATCAGCCTGAGTGTTTGAATGGACAACCTGCATTTGGCCAACACTGCACATCATCCTGAAATTACCACCCCCACAGTGAAACACAGTAGTGGCAGCATCATGCAGTGGTACTGACATAATGGAGGACTACCTCCACATTCTTGAGTTTCACCTCAAACCAACAGCTGACCAGTTGAAACAGAGTGCTACAACAGGATAATAATCCGGAACAAGAACCGGATTTAGACATTAAGCTCCTGGAATGGCCAGAACCCCAGCTGTACAGAAAATATGTGGTTAAAGTTTAAAATCAACCAATTTAAATGGTTTATCTGCCAAGAAGAGCGGCCAGATATGGAAGATGTTTCAAGGCTACAGAACAAGTGTGGTTAAGGTGCAACTCTCTAAAGGGACAATTAACTGAGTATTATTGGGGGGTCTGTATGAATAAATACGATCCTATGTGTTAAAGGAAATTGACAATAAATTCAAACTTGTGCACCTAGTTCTATGCATCAAAAATTAGACTTTAAATGTTAAAACCAGAATAAACATCAAGCACAAACTCAGGAAGTCACACCATGATTATTCCTGGTTTCTTTCCTTAATATTCCCACCTGATTTCTGTTTGGAGGTTTAGGAATGCAGCTACTCACTGATTAGAAACCGGATTTCTGCCAACACATCCGAGCACAGTGTCGCTTTCTAAATGCAGGTCTTCCTGAGCAGGAATCAGGGTCTGACTGCTCTTTATGAGCCGGTCTAAAATGTAAGGTTCAGAAGCTTTTGATGTGCTGAGGTGAATCTGTATTTAAGGCATTTTTCATAGTGGTCTGCTTTCTGTCCCCCCCCAGGGAGGCATCGCGTTTGTGGCCATCAAAGGGGCGTTTAAAGTGTACTTCAAACAGCAGCAGTACCTGAGGCAAGCCCACCGTAAGATCCTCAACTTCCCAGAGCAGGAAGAGGCCTGAGGCGGTGGCGCAGTCAGGAGGGCATGAACTGCTGTCAGTGAGGATGCATCGCTGATGAAGATGAGAATCAGCGTCACCCTTACTGCATCGCCCTCTCAGCTGTTCCTACGGAGATCCATGGTGGACCTCCACGCAGGGATCCCTCACCAACACCGCCATCGCTGCGCGCTGCTTTCTGTGTGTGGACGATGGACAACAAACTGCAGCATGCTTGCAGTCAGTGTGCAGCTATAAACACACACAGGATGTGCTTCAATCACATAAACAGCTCCTGCTAACTTACTGTGTTTTGAATAAACATACAGGGCATGTGTAATCAGAACATTTTATAAGGATATTAATAAATGATGGTTTTATGTTCGGAGACATCCCCTCTGCCCCCGTTAGGGTTCACATAGAAGACACCAGTGTGTCCAGATGATTAACCAGTAAATAAATGGAAAAGCCTCTCCATAAATTACCAGGAAGCATTTAAAGAACCTGTCTGGACTTTGACCCATAAAGAACTGGCCAGAAACTAACGGCGGTGTTGTAAAATAGAAATATATTTTAGTTGAGATTTCTGTGTTTTTGTTTAGCTTTGCCTTCATCTGCTTATTTTCCAAACTGTGATGCGTTGGAACCCTCCACGGCTGTCACTGCGCTCCGGTTCTGATGAACCCACTGCAAGGAGACCGCCTCGGCCTGAAGAAGTGGTCCTACCAGAACGCGGGAATGGCTCTGCTGGGACACACTAAAACTTGCTTGTGATCTGGTAACACATCCGTCTGGACTTTTCAGGGACAGTTTGTGATGAGGCGGTTCTGTTGTAGTTCTGGTCAGAATGGGTTTGCAGTAATTATGTATGCACACAGCGTTTTGCACATGTGGTCATTTCCCTAAAAACTTCAATATATTTTATTTTACAGACTGAAAGTTGACCAGAATGATGATTTTTGAAGACAGGCATGCCCACAGCATGATTCTCCCAACACCATGCTTCAATGTGGGAATAGTGTGTTCAGGGTAAACAAATACAAGAGTCCAAAAAGTTTAAGGTCTCCTCTGACCTTCCACCTGTTTGCTGTGTTCCCTGCATGACTCGTGACAAACCAAACTTCGTGTGGATTTGTTCTTGGCACACTTCCTTAAAGGCCACATTTTGTGGAGTAAACAATAGTGGACCTGTGGACAGATTCTCCCACCTAAGCTGTGGATATTTGCAGCTCCTCCAGAGTCATCATGGGCCTCTTGGCTGTTTTTTTTTTTTTTTTCTGATTCATGCTCTCCTCTCCTGGTCTCAGTTTAGGTGGGTGGTCATGTCTTTGACTGTAGTTCAGTCCACCTTCCATGTTCAGATGGATTTATCAGAACGTAGATGTTCAAAGCTTGTGATGTTTTAGAACACAACCCTGCTTCAAACTTCCCTGACATGTCTGCTGTGTTCCTCGGTCTTCATGATGCTGTTTGTTCTCCAACAAACCTCTGAGGCCTTCACAGAATAGGGATGGATTTATGAAAAACACAGGTTCACACTATTTACCATTGGATTTTATTTAAGGGCATCAAAGTAAAAGAAGGCTAAAGTCGAATGCATGCCACACGTTTCAGAATGTTTGTAAAAAAAAAAAAAAGCATAATTTTCC